CTGCCGCCGCGGTCTTGTCTCCGGCACCACCGGGTCTCCCGGAGGTAAGTTACCCCCTCCGGGGTTCTGTTCCGGGGTTTTGTCTGCCCCACACCCTTTCCTCACCCCTCCTTGCGCCCGTGACGGCAGCACGCCGCCGTCACACCGTGCAAGCAGAGAACCCTTTCTGAACACTCCTTCCTTGTCATCTCCCCTGAAACACGGTCTGATCCTTTCTGATAACTGTGGACACATGCGAACTCTATAACTGCCTCTACATATCCTTTGGTATAATCTTCTTGATTTGCAGTTCACATGTACACCAGCCCCTGTTTCCTGAGATGCAATAGAAACAAATAAAAGCAGGCAGTTTCCTCACTCAGAAATCTCCTAGTTCCGCCTAGCACTCTACCAGAGACTCTAGAGTGTGTCCATTTTCTCTTGGAGTCATACTAACAATTTCTTTTAATCCTCACTTCATGGCTTGGAAAACAATAGTGTAGCCTCTGCATCTGTAACTGGAGAAAACCCCTCAAAGCACATAGTTCAGCCCAGACCTTTCATGCTTGCATCTGCACCCCCCCATCACTGAGCGGGAGGGTATTCCACAGCCACCGATTGGTGAGCGGGGAGCAGGTGGGCGGCAGCCGATGACTGAGCCCAGAAATGCTGGCAGCAAAACCAGAAGTGCCACCGGGGACTGAGTAGGACCCAGCCAGCACCCCCCACCCCAGGCCAGCACCTGGGCGCATGCCCCCTCCATTGGTATGCCGCTGCCTTTCATATGGCTGGTTACCTTGGGCAGTGGCTCTCGCAGTATGCAGTCTTCATGGCTTTAGGGAGCTTAACTGCTGCCTCCACGAGCCTCTAAAAAGACAACTAATGTACCCATAGCCAGTGCCGGATTATGACATGCTGAGGCCCTAAGCCATGTCCAGTTTAAGAGGCCTTATACAATAAAATAATCCACGAAATCCATGAAAATGGATTTTTATTAAATGTTAAGGTGAATTATTGTTATTTCTGCACAAATGTATGAACTCAATATGAATAATAACTGTGGAGCCATATACATGTATATTTTTGTCATATTAGAATGAAAATGTCCATTTTTTTTCTTATTTAGAGGCCCCTCATATTGTGAGGCCCTAAGCTGTAGCTTAAGTAGTTTAAGCTTAAATCCGGCACTGCCCATAGCCTTAATAAGGTCTGTGCCTGCCATTGGATCATGACCTACAGCCTTCCAATGGCCACCATTAGCACCTTTCAGTGAAACAGACCTGAGTCCCTAGCTCTGACATTAAATTGCTGTATGTCAATAGGCAAGTCACCTCACCACTCTGTGCCTCAGTTTCCCAACGGTAAAACATAGCTAATGATACTTACTTTTTCCCAGATACTTTTAAGTATCCAAAAACGGGGCTATTTAAGAGCCAAGCTCTCTTACTGAGCACAGGGCAAGACTGAACAGCTCTGAGAGAAGTCCATCATAGCAAGAACAATATCAATTAATACATTTTTAATGATAACTACTTCACAGAATTGTAAAGGTATGTACCACACCATGAAGATATGAAAAGATATGTAAGTGCTAATTATTAATAGTCAAGAGAAGGAAATTAAACTGAATTGCTGCTTGACTTTCTAGTGGACAAGTAATTGGTTTTTATACATGGCTAACAGCTAAATTCTTCAGGCTGTAAACAATTGGATTAAGTACAGACAGTCAAAAATCCCAAGGCTGAATCAATTCAGTCTTCGCAGATTAGTCTAAACTGTGTAGATTGAACCAAGAAGCAAGTGAACAGGCATTCACTTTTGATTCCAGAAATGCAGCCACATGCCTGCAGTGGCTCTAGAGCACACCTCTCTTCTCAACTGGAACAGCTGGGCTAAGGCTAGCCCACCCACCCTGCAAAGGGGGAGAGGAGTGCAGGGAAGGTGCAAAGCATAATGAGATGTTGGGGGTGTGAGGGAGTGAAGGAGCAACCCAAGCTGGCAGGAGAAGTGGCGGGCCAAGAGACTCTCCTACCTGTGAGCCCTGCTCCATCGCAGCTGGAAGCTGCACCAGAGTGAAGTTTTTCTAGCTGATACTCCCTGCAGATTGGAGGAGGGAGCCTGGTACCAGCACTGAAAACCCCGAATGCAGACACTCGGGGAAGAGTGAGAACCCAGAAGCCAGAAGGCTTGGGGAACCAGAAGCAGCCGACCCAGCAGAGGCCCCTCATATTCTTCTTGATTTGCAGTTTGCCAGGCAGCAGACCTGGCAGACACAGCTGTCAAAGAGAAGCTGCCGGCCGGCAAGGAGGCTGGGCAGGGCAGCCGGATTGGAACTGGCCCTCTGTAAGGCAATCTGACCCTCCAGCCCAAGGGCTGCACAAGGAGCTTGGATCTTCCAACTCCATAACCAGACACCCTGACAGGAGGACTGTAAGTTAACTTGAATCTGGAGGGGATCTAGGACAGAAGTTAAATAAACTGATTAACCAGAATCAGTTAAGTTTGATACTGCATCCATCCAGGTTTCTCTTGAACCAGTTTTGGCCCTTTTGAAAGTGGTTTATGGGCTCCTATATACGTGCCAGACACCTGCTCCAACACATGCTAATTAGCATGCATCAGAGCAGACTCAATTAACCAAGTCTGCTGGAACGTGTTAGTTAATGTGCTCCAGCAGCCTCCATGTCATGTATTTTCAGCATCCCTGCACTTCAAAATGGTGGCAGGAGCACTTGAACTAAAGCTCATTGAACAAACTTTAGTTCAAGTGCCCCCGCCACCGTTTTGAAGCACGGGATGCTGAATATACATGACGCTGCTGGCACTTTAAAAAGAGCAGCTCTCAGAGCCACTCTAATTAAAGTGCCCCACCTCCACCCTGGAGCATGTGTCTAGACACCCCACATGCCTGAACTTCTCTTGTGTTACAGATTTGAACCAGTTTCTGATCACTTATTCCAGTTTATGGTATAAGTGCCCCACCCCCCCTCGCCATTTACTGCTCAAGCTGGGATCCCTCTGTCCCCTCCCTCCCTGCTCCCAGAGCATGGACCCCATTCCCATGGACCCTAGGCATGCGCTATGCTATCTAAAGCTGAGAGGTGTGTGTGTGTGTGTGTGTGTAATTTCACTGGGACAGGACAAAGGCAGACAGGACTTAGGGCTTTTTGGGGCTAATTAACAGGTTAGCTGGTAATGTCCCTGCATTTCTTCCTTGGAAAAGGCTGTTTAAGAAGAGCTTGAACTAATGAGAGAGGCTTTTGTTGTCTTGATGGGCTGCTAGAAGGTGTGTTATCAGCTCCCTGCTGGCTCCCCACCCCGTCAGGTTTGCAGACAGTATGAAGTAGCAGGGAGAGGGAGATTGAAAAGCTCAGTATCATCAACAGATGAATGCACTGCACACACCCTGTCCCCATTTGCCTCAGTGCTAGCCCGGGGCTGGGAGCTGGGAACACTCCTCCCCTAGAGAAGTGAATGGGGAAAAGCCTGAGACAGTGCAGGCAGGGTGGGGGTTTAAACCCTTCCCTAATCAGAACATCCTGCCAGGGCCTGGTCATACCCCCACCTCAGCCCAGCAATGTGGAAGGGAAGGGAGGGCTGCTTTAGCGCCCCCCCATCTTCTAGCCTGAGCCACTGCAGGCATGTGCCTGCATTTCCTCAGTCCAGAGGGAATGTCTGTGCATTTTCAAACTGGTTCACCCTAGGCAGGTTAGACTAGCCTGCAAAGATAGAATCAATTCAGGCTTTTTGAATGTCTGTCCCTAGCACTGGTGAATATTGTTTGTATTGCTGACTGAAATGGTGTGGGTCTGCAAAGGCGGGAGTGAGGGTAGGGTCAAGGAGTGCTATGCATATTCTACGTGTTTCTTTGATGAGAGTCCTGCTGCACAGCAAAGCCATTGCTGTGTTCTGTCAGCAGTGACTTCCTCCCCTGAGGGTACCCAGGAGAGCCTGCTAGCCACAGCAGGGGGGAGTACAAGACTGATTCCTTTACAGAACGCCTGCTTCCCAAAGTCTCCTTCCTTATCAGTGTCACCAATACATAGCTGCATCCTTAAGGCACACTGTAGCCCTTGATATCTACATTTCTTTAATATTCTTTCTCATGATCATGAAGTTAATTGTAGAAACAACAAAACTGAATGTAATGGCATCAAAGCCACTGATTCCATAAAAGCAGAAAGGAACCCAATGCAGTTTGCACTGTTTCCAACAGCCTCTCTTTCTGCCTGTATTTGTCTTGCAGAAGGATGCTGGGAGAGTGCCCTTAATCTCCCTTCCAGTCAGTACAGTTTTACTATCACATTTTCTTACATTTTGAAGTTTTCATTCTTCTGTTGTTGAAAGACTTGAATGCAGCGCACCCAGCTGATGCAGCCACATGACCCCCTGACTATAGAGCACCGCTAATTTGCACTCACTGGCAGTTGACTATATCTTGGGCAGCCATACCTCTCAGTGGGTTTTTCCGAGGGTATGTCTGCACTGCAATCTGAGCTGTGTAGCAATGAATGTAAACTCCAGGGGTGCTCAACCTCCAGCCCATGGCACTGTCATCTAGCTCAGCATTTCTCAACCTATGCATCATGATCCAAAAGTGGGTCTGTGAGAGGGGGCCCATCGGGACCAGGTCTTAATATCGGCCTGTCCCTCTGTGTAGGGCAGTCTGCCCTGTCTCACCTGCCATGACTTGATGGTTAATACACTTGATGTAAATATGCGGGAGGCTGCCCATTTAACGCCCTGATGCCTGGGGCAATATACACCACTCTAACCTACCGTACATCGTGTCCCATGCCTCACAGATGGCATCAT